TCAAAACAAGATTTAGAAAATGGAACAAGAGTTAAGAGTGGTCTTTTTTTTTTTCCTTTTTGTAATATCTAAGCCAGAATCTCATATGACTTTCTTAGAGGTTTTAGTGTAGATGCTGAAGGCACGGAGACAAAATCTAACTCTATAGTACACTATTCATAAACTTACTGTTTTGGGAAAGCTCTAGAGAAATCTGGAATATTCAATAATCAGAATGGTACCTTTTGCATTTACCTACTGCACAGCAAAAGTTATTGTTTTAAAAACCTTTTTGTTTAAAAGTTATAATTCAACTCCTATCATCTTCAGGGATTTTTCATCAGGAAGTACTACAATCTAGGCTTGTGCACAATACTGTGACCTCAAAATGTTCCGACTTCATAACAGTTGAATGTTCTATACATAAAACAAAACTCATGTGTTTTGAGAGTTTTGTTCAGAATGTGAAAGAAAAATGTTCTTTTGAGTTTTCTGACTATTCTCAACACTGCAGTTGGGCTAATCTTGCACGCTGTGGCTGGGCTCTTTTTTTAAAACTCTTATCATCCTTTCTAGAAGCAGGGAGCAACAAGTGTTACTAATGCTGCTGAGGCTGTATAAATGTAGCAACTACTACTACAATGGTGGTTTAGTTGATTTGATGAACTCTGTGTGCTCCTATGTTGTCTTATAATGCTAATATGCATGCAATTAAGAAATGCTAGAAGTCCTTTAAAAACTTTTTATTTATTTTGTTGCCAGCAGTTACTCCTCTCTGCAAAAACATCAGGAAAGAACCATAACCCAGAGCTTTCATTACATTTACAGCTGGTAGTCATACTGCCAAAAAAAAAAAAGTGCCTACAGAACATTGGCCAAGATTTTTTTAAATCAAAACATTAAGAAAACTTAATGGGGAAGGAACTGTCAGAAATAAGTGACCTTATTAAATAAGGGTTTGTTTAAAGCAGTATTTCTTAATTTTTTTGCTCCCAGGACCCCTTCCCACTTTTAAAAATTATGGAGGACCCCAAAAGAGTTTTGTTTGTGTGGATTATAATTTACCAATATTTACCACATTAATTTACATGATTAATATTGAATCATGTAAAAATAACAATAATAAACCCATTAGATATTAACATAAATATTTTCCATAAAACAAAACTA